TGGGGTATTCGAATGGTTGTCTTGGCGTGTTGTAAGAGTTTGCGAGGTTTGTGTTTCTCTTGCTCCTAGATGTTTGGGTTCGAGGTTGTTATTATGAGTCGTGACTGCTGTGTGAATGTTTTTATTTGTATTTTTAGGATGTCATTATACTTTTCATTATGGGCGGATTTTCCCGCATTATTACAATTTTGGACACACTGCGATCGTCACCAAACTTTCAGTACCCTCCCGGACATCAATTTTACACATGGTGACCAAAATTTTTTCCAAAGGCTATGATAGGTTGGCCGGAAATGACGTCAGAGTGACGTCATGTTCTGCCGTTTTCGACCCAAAAAAGGGTTTCGCGGGAAGAGCTGTCAGGCCTATAGCTTTGCAAATACAGAAAAATGATAAACACATAAAAGCTGTAGAATTGTCAGGGCTACAAAACTGCTATCTCAGATTTTTGAAATTTTTGGATTTTGACCCCAAAAAATCAAAAAATATTTTTTTTTTGGATATAATGATCGAAAAATCCAAAAAGTTTTTTGAACTTCGCAAAAACCGGAATATATGTGATAGTCCTTACCGCCTTCCATCCACATACCAAATTTGAGATTGATACCTCTTTTTTTGGCGAAGTTATAGCGAAAAAACTGTTCAAAATTGATGACGTCAACTTTTCAAACTCAATTTTTAGCAATTCTAGACCCCGTAGCGCAAAACAAAGACCACCATTAGACTCCCCGTGACGAGCTGCATCGAATCAATACCCATTTTATGCAAAATATCAACTTTAAAATTTGACCTTTTTTGGCCTGACCTTGACCTGACCTTGACCTGAACTTCACCAGAAAGTGACCTAAGCCGTACCTGATAGTCTTATAACCAACACCATTGAGTTGGAAATGAAAAATTGGCCATAAAACATGCATAACACAACCTTAGTAAAGTTGGGCTCATGTGACCTGACCTGTGACCCTTGGTGACATGACCTGTGACGTGGCCTGGTATTGTCAGTGACCTCTAATAGCAACATATCTACTAGGCAACTGACGCCCTATCGCTGATTCTCGACAAAATGCGTTTTCCTCGGTGTTATAGCGCATTCCCTAGAAGACCCGTGAACGGTGAAACATTTCATCTTTGACCTGACCTGTGACGTCATCGGTGACCCCGAGGTCAATGAAATTTGGTTTCCCTCGACAAATTTGACAGGCCTATCGAACGCCGTTTGAATTTTGCGGATCCGTCCAGTAGTTTCGGAGATACGAGGGGGGGGGGCAAAAAATAGCCCCCCCCCCCCACCAGGTCGCGTTATAAACAGACCCCACCAGGGCGCGGGTTAAGAAACCAAGCCGGCATACGGCGTCACCACCGGGCTTCTGAGGTGCACAGCACCAACCCATGAGGTCTTACTTTAGTGTCGTAGAGCCACGCTCATTTGGCAGGGCCCACCCGCCACTGGGAAGAGGGTCTCATGCCAGCCATTGCTGGGCCTACGAGAGTCTCAAGTAAACCCACGCTGATATTCCATATAAGATCCGGCCATACTCGTGAACCGATGCCAGCGACGCTGACCGCCAAATTGACAGAATACGAAACTGAGCCCACTCATGAGTGAAATTTGCGTCCTTTGATGGCGCAAGAAAGAAAATGAAACATACAAAAAGCTTTTCTAGGACTTTTGTTCGATCTGAAAGGTGGGGCCAAAAGATAGTATGGCCCCACCTTTCAGCACCAAAGGCCCCCCCTGGGACCGCCTATGAAGGGGGACCGTTGGTCCCCTCTCCCTGCCGTTGAACCCCCTCGGCCCCTGATCGAGCTAGAGCCTCGCGGAAAAAAACGAGCATGTTGCCCGTGACAAGAGGAAGTCGATGATACCCAATTTGAAGGACCTAGGTAAATCGTTGGTTGACCTTCCAAGTCAGGTCAATGACCCAAAAGTCGGGAAAATCGAGGCCTGTTAGAACTTCGTAAAGTGAGGTTGTTATGTTTTTCGGGATACTGATCACGAATTCAATGTTAGTGATCACAGATTCGAAATCAGCTAAAAAGACCACTCTAGAATCACTTGACACTAAAAAAGTGAGCCAAGGTCACCAAAAGTCAATGAACTTGAGCTGACCTTCATGTGTATTTAGCTGTATTTAGACAAGGTCTGTCCAGTGCTCACATCGAGCCAGAATATGAAATGTTATCAAATAAGGTGTGACCATGTGAGGAAGTGATTCGGCAGCCCTGTGTTGGTGTAGCCTTTCCTTAAACTTGTTTGTACAAGGAGCCTCCATCACATCCCTTGGCAGTTTGATCCAGTCATTTCCTTCTCTGTTTGAAAAGAGCTTCAGCCTAAGTAAATGACATGATCTGCCTTTTATCACTTACAGATGGTGCCCTCTAATGTGATTTTCATGGAAGAATTCGAAGAACTGCTCAATGTCAACCTTAGCATTTTATCAGGAGCTTGTAAGTTTTGATGGCAACCCAGCCAGCTAAATTGGTCTGGGCCGTATCTTGTTTTACTCTGGCTAGCTCCAGCACTTACTCTGCCGAATTACGAGCAAGGTCTGGAGCTCTGCTAGAGTTGACATACGATCCCAGAGCTGGCCCGCACCACAGCCAGACTTATGCCACATCAGCCGTGCCGTGCCTCAATCGTACTTCAGCCACAGTAAGCCAGAGCCGCTACAAGGCAGCCGGACCTCGCGGTAGCGCGCCATGACAGGAAGACAGACTTGAGCTAGACTTGTCAGTTGGCGGTCCGAAACCATGCCAACTCCGGAGCAGTGAGCGCTATGGGAAGACTGGCTACCGTAAAGTGGGGCTATTTGAGACAGTGGGGCTATTTGAGACAGTATTTAAAATCGCTATAAAATGAGGATCGTTTGATTTTTATGTGATATTTTTGCTCAGGAAGGTGTGGAATCGAGCAGTAAATCGCCTGAGCAAAAATTAAGCATAAATTTCAAACGGTTTTTATTTTATAACAATTTTAAATACTGTCTCAAATAGCCCCACTGTCTCAAATAGCCCCACCTTACGGTAACCGGAATGGAGCCATATTGACCCAAGCCCCCCCCCGTTCTGATGGCGCCCCTTCAACAAACTGGAAAACATCCATACACTACGCCGGAGACGCCCGTGAAATCCTCTTGCGCCGAAATTCGCAAGCGATTTTGCGCTGAAAGTTCTGCATGATTTGTGCCAAAAAATTGGGTGCCTATTTGTACCAAAATTAAGCCACTTTTATATAAAGCACATGAGCACATCTACCGATCAAGGCTACCTGTATCAACTAGACAGAGCGTTCCGGGGCCTTGGACACTCTCCGGGGTTTGAGCGTCTGAATAAGTTTTTATTTCCACGGAAACCCAATATCTCAATACGCTTAGCGCACTGTAGCGTCGTGCTGTGAAACAAGGCCGTAGCCGAAAGTTCCAGGGCCACACCAATCGGCGGAGCGGTGTGTTCGAGGCTGGCGGGAGCCAGCGAAGGCCCGGCAGCGAAGCAGCACGTGCTGCGGCACATCAGCCTCTTTTCATTTTCCGCACACAGCGCAGAGCGCCGCGGGGCACCGCTCCTCTCTGTCCTCTCCGAGGATAGGGGAGCGGCGGCGTGCTCCTGAGGAGTGGCTTGAATAGTGACTCGGAACAGTTGTCGCCCAATTGATGCGAGACCACACAATGAACCGCCCTGGTCAGCGAGCGGGAGTTCGAGGGCAGGATGGCTGCTTGTTTCGCCAGGTCGTCCGCGCTCTCATTCCCCTCGATACCGCAGTGGGCAGGAACCCATTACAGTATTACTTAACGACACTCGGCGATGATCAACAAGGTCAGCGGCCTTGCTATTTATCTCCATGCCGAGGGTTGAGGCCTCACCTGAGCGGCTGCTCCTCCGCTGGGTCGACTCAGTGCGGCTCGCCAGTTCGAGCACATGACGACCAGGGCGGGGGCGTTTCGGCCTGAAGCCTCTCCAGAGCCGCCCGCAGGGCGAATCTGCTGCTAGATTGACCAACGTGCCAACTAAATTCAGTGACCAACTTTCACCAAAAATTATGAGGCCGCCCTGTGGCAAAAAAATCAGCCGCCTCCATGTGCTGAATTTGACGTGTGTGAAGTTGTGCCCCCACACGTGCACCAAAATTTTTGGCACAATCCCGCTACTAAGCTGAACATATTCAGCAAAACGTGCTTTTTTCCAGTCCGGTCCCTTTACACTGGTTCAAATTTGGCACGTCAGAATTGACAGGGGAAAACAGACTAGATCCAAACCAAATTGCTGGCTGGGAAGGTCTTATCATTTTGGTAGTTACAGCCTAGTGGCTTCTGGGGCCTAAGAGTGTTATGTCTTGTCATGTTCTTCACATTCCTGAATCTAATCTTACCTTATGCTTGATCCGGTGTTTTGGGCCTCCATTTAACGTTATAGTGAAAGCAGTTGTGGCCAAGGCCGTTGTGGCTAAGATTCTAACAGATACAGAGGCAGAGGCACACCTTACTCTATCTCTTCTTCTAGACAACATTCATTCACAATTTCACATCGAAGAATAACTTTTCAGAGTAGCTATTGCAGTGCATAATGATAAACACTGGGTCAACACTGGGTAATCAAACGGGGCGCGCGCTTCGTAGCGTGTTTTACATGTGCCGCTGCTACTGCTTTTGATACATAAATTTATGCTTTTCATTGACGACATCTATTGATGAGGGATGTTTCTCTTCCAGAAAGATTGATTTAGCTTAAAACATAGATGTATTTAAATTATTCAACTTTGATTTTCATTTTTCAATTATAAGGAATATTTTCATAAAAATAACCATGCGTCTGCAAGGTTAGAGAACACATATTTTGTCACAAAAGCGGCAAAAGCGCTTAGAAACATTTAATTTTTCAATTTATTCAAAAAAGAGCGAATTATGTTCGATGAGGCTAGTGGAAGCCAAAAGACCAACCAAAAGGCTGAAGTATTCCTGTCGACAGCAGCTACCGTTACAGTAGAACACGATGCATCTTTGTTATTTTTTGCTTGACAGTCGCGTGCTCGTGCCGCGTTACATTCGCTCTGAAGTCTTCCTTGGCAATTTTACGGTTGAAGGTGGGTTTATTTTAGCTGAACTGGCAAGTGATGTATAATAGTCTACTTTTTAGGTCACGGAAGGATGAATAAATCGCGAAATCTGTCGATAAAGTGCCTTTCACGTTTCGCCGCAATTGTCACTACCGCGTCAAATGACATTTTAACGCATATATATGTAGAATGAGGAGCTGTTTAGGTATCCTTATTTGTTAGACTCCTATTGTGGAGTTTCAGCAACCCTATACTCAACCAACTATCCTCAAAGTCTACCTACCTTGACATAGCAGCTGCCACAGTATAGGTTGAGGTATGTGTGAGGCTGTACAGGGGGGTTCGCTCCCGTGCCTTCAGCATTACGAAAAATGGAAACAACCCGTGAGCAGCATCAGCGCTCGCGCACATGTTCAAAGAAAACAACGTGTAATGGACTGCTAACGACGGCCCTTTCCACCAATCAGCGTTCAGCATCTCGAGCGCTGATTGGCTGGTAGTAAACGCGTCATATGTGGGTCTCATTTTTTGCTATCGGTGAACGCGTTATTTAATACACAGTGGCCTATGGAGAATGGCACGCGGAAATGAAGGTCAGTGTTTTATTGCTTCGTACATGCGAATGGGGGCATTTGAGTGGCATTTGATACCATTTTCGAAATCTACAGTGAATTTCTGATCGACTCATGTATATATTTTTATGAATTTGACAGTATTAGTGCTACATAGTCGGTGTTTTATGTTGGTGTTGTTTCTCTCGACCTTAGTCTTTGACTTCAATCATATCTTTTCTCGAAAATGCTTGCCATAACCCGGTCTAAACTATATCTGTATAAAGGGAATATGTGTTGAATATGAGGAGAAAGTAGTAATGACCATTCTACCTATCAAACTGCCAGAAGGTGTGCTTGTAAGGTGATTGAAACTGCAGTACGGGTTGCAGATGTGGGTTTGACATTAGCATTGTTGTTGTAACCCCACTTGCTCTAATAAAATGGCAACATGGGGTTATGTACACACTATTGCACAGCCTGGTATCAAGCTGGTTGATATGTGGAGGATAATGAAAGCATAAAAACCTTTCTTAAGTGAATAGGAGCGTTGCGTCTTGTGACTTATGTCAAGTCATTTTAAATCAAATTGAAATGATTGTGATTGTAACTTTTACTTCAATTATTATTGCGAGTTTTGACCTATTTAATCATCAAGTTTTATGTGTACCAATGTCATATCCCTGTGTAATGTCTGTGCGGCTTTGTGCAGTGTGCGTGTCTTGAAACAAACCAATTTATTTTGTACCTTTTTGTACATCAACAAATGTATGTCAAAGGACAAAAATGTCATGTCTATTATCATTGACACTACTACAGCTAACTTTGCCCTTTATTCCTATCTTTCAGAGGCATTCAATTCAATCTGCTTTCCAGTGCAGTACCCAGGAGGCTGCAACTGAAACTCGCACAAAGGCAATCAAGTGTCACTTCATCAGCCTGCAGCAACAGCCCATCTGTAATCAAGATATGGATGAAGTGGCATAGAAGAACAACCAGTTCAAACATGAAAAGATGTATTTTGTTTTGGACTATTTCTTAGCATAACAGAACAGCACACTTGCTGCTTTTTATGTTTGCCCTGTGTGCAGTTTTAAATAATTTTAACTATGAAATGCTTTTGCCAACTCTTCTCTTTACATAAGCTTCATTTGTCATGCATGATGTAGGCATATTTCCCCTGGCACTTTGCAAACTTTTGTTATGGACATTGGTGCTACCTATATTAGATGATGCTTCAGATGTGTCCAGTAGTTGCAGGGAGAAGCGGAGTAGGACAGCTGATAGCCATTACCAAAAATATGTGCTTGTCTGCACTTCGGGCTGTTCCATCATATGCAACCTCTATTTACTTCCTTGAGTTGAAAACACCTCATCTTTTGTTTTTTTTCCTGTGTGGCCATTGTTTCCGTGGTGCTATAAACGTCAAGTTTGAAGTTGGTATCCAAGTGAGCAAAATGTGCATCATTTCAGTCCGTCTTGAATCATTCGTCTTGAATAATATCCCTAACTGACATCCTGTTATTTGTCCTGCAATGTCTGTGCCTGTGTCCGCCCTTACCTCCGGCTCCAGCCTCCAACCAGCCCTGCTGAGCTCTGTCGCCGGCGCGGTGTGTCGCAACGTGCTGTTTCTCCACTCCAGCCGACAGCTGCTAGGAATCGTCCTGTGCCATGCGCCATGCGACACAGCAATTGTAAGCTGCAGGTCACATTCGGACTGATTGGCCCCGCATATGTGCATCCGGCCGAGTGCTAGTCGATATCAGGGACGTTGGTCGGACTGTTGTGGCGGCGTGCATTGTGCCGGTTGAAGTTGTTGTATTTCTGTTAGTGAAAACCATTAATACATAACCATGGCCGCAGCCCAATGTTATTGTGGATTTCAGAGGGAGTGGCCAGTCAGGAGGGCCCCATGTGTTTATGGATCCAGTGTCCAGTGGGATTGGCTAAGATTTCCGGCGATTGATAAACGCTTCTATGATAGTAAACCTAGTCCTATTGAGTTATGAGGGGAGGTGACGTTAGGGACCTGACCTTACTAAACTCTTGTGAAAACACGATACATACGAGCGGTAAGAAACCGACAGCCATTCTTTCCGCCAACTGTCATCTTTCTGTGAAGGATTTCTTGACACTGAGTGTTCAGAAATTGCGTTGTTTTTGGACTGTGTAGAGGCTCACGAGCGACAACATAGCTCAACAACCTGACGTACCTTGAATATGCGACTTGTACCAGAAGATCCAGCTTGAGCAAAAGATTGGACATGTCAAATTTCAGCTCTTTAGCTCAAAAGAATTTTGAGCTGTCGTAAAAACCGTCAGTGTCGCACCATATCGCCTCCCCGCGCGGTCGGAAGGTAAAAGTTCGCCGGCTCTAACTAAACAAATAATCGTCTTATCGCAAATTCATTGACGGCGTTCGAAGCGTCGTTCAATTTACTTTCGAAACATATCCTAACATTAACATTTAACTGCCTAGCGCAATCTCCAACAAGCAAAAGTTCCATGCATTCATCTTCATACAGTGTTAGCGGCCGCCGGCCGCCGGCCGCTGACCCACATTCGCGTCATCAGGGAATGCCGCAACTAATTTATTGTTTCCAACTTTTTTCCCGGAGCGTTCTACCTGGTTTATATAGCCTTGGGCTGTACCCACAGATGGACTATGGAGTGGGCAGAAAGATGGTTTGTTCCATTGTGCAATGGATGAGTTACAGTTGTACCTGGCCTAGGGGAAGGTAATCTGTACACTCAGTACATATATCATATATCAATGTATGGGAAAGATTCAGGCTCAGCATCTGTGTCAGGACAGATGAGTAGTCTAGGTAGAGATATTATGCGAGTCAGGAAGCAACTTAGGTTAAATATTAACTAATCCTAAAATATGAAGGTGAATAGGAAACTCTGTCATGTTACAAGAGTTACCCTTAATTATGTATTATTAGTGATTATAGTAACCATTCACTTTTTATTTTCAGGTAGCTGAAAATGGCAGATCCTGATGGATCAACCAAGAAAAAAATATCCAGACCTGGCTTCAAGTTCGAAACAGGTTTCAGAATTGAGTTACTGGAGACAGGAGTATGGTATGGTATTTGTTTAAGTATGAATAATTAAGGCTGCTCGGCCCCTGCCCCCTAGCATCCTCACCCTAGAAAATGTCTGGCCCTGCCTTTAGAAAATGGACAGATTGGAGTTTCCCTTCTCCATGCTACATAGTTCTCTGGAACCTAATGGTGGGATGATAGAATAAGAGTTGTGCTTGGTACCAAAATACCAAGTAGTGTATGTGTTATGTTGTATTCAAACATTCAAGCTAAACTTGTTTCCTTTTTAGGTAGCTGCAATGTACCTATTGGTGCATCCCATTCAAATGCAGTTTTTTATTATTTATCAGTAATGAAAAAAGACTAGCAAGTGGTAAGCTCAGTAATATGTGTAGTCATTTTGCATCGCATCATCTCAATTATTTTTCCAGTGATTCAGAATGGTATATATTTTGAGATACCTGATATGTATCCCTCTGTTTATCCACTTGGGGTATGTTTGCATTTTCTCATTGGCATGAATCATGATGCATCATACATTTGCAGGTATACATGCAAAATTCTGCAAGTGGACTGGGAAAAGGAGCTAATTCTCATTCACTATGACCGGTGGTCTCACAAGTTTGATGAATGGGTGCCCATGTCATCACCAGACATCAGGCCTTGCAAGGATAAGGGCAGGCAGTGAGTAATGTGCATATATTTCTATTGCTCCATTTTAAAATAATTTAAATTGAGCTGGGCTCAATTACCAACTACCAGAGTGCTGCTGGCAGCATTTTATGGATGTTGATGTAAATAGGCATTTTTTGTTAATTACTCTCTTTGCTACCTACGTATTAACATGGATTAGGTATTCCTGGATTGGACACTCCGCCGATTTTCCGACCACCCGGCGGCGGCGGCGGATTTCCCGACGGCGAGGGCGCTGGCGTTATTTTAGCATTGCGGGCTATGGGCGGAGCGTGTCTTTTTGTATACTTTTGTCGTTTATTACTTACCTGTAACCGATTTTGATGAAAATTTTTGTGAACCTGGTAGAACAGGTGTTGAGGAATGTCATGGAAATATTCTTTTCCCAGTTTTGATATAAGAAGTTGCTTAAATTCTGCTGACAAGTGAGGGTTCGTGATTACAGCCGAAGAGCCAATGTTAGAATAAAGTGAAGTTTTATGCGATAACATGAAAATAAGTTGATATTTGTATTAAATCATCAATAGGAACTTGTTTGACTGCCGAGGAACGATGATATTTGATGATAAATTGCATCGGCAAGTCAAGAATACCGGCTCAGTTTATGGGCATCAGGTAATGATTCCGTATGTGATAGTGACTAAATGGAGCCATAATAATTATAAGAAAGAACTTAAAATATGTGTGAAGTCTCTTAAATCGTGTCTTATGAGCTAAAGTTCGCTAATTTCGCCATCCATTACCGCGTTTTTAGCACGCACGCCAATGCGGCGGCCGCCGGCGCACTCGCCGCCGATGTTTCGGAGCTCCGCCACCAGGGCGGCCGCTTGGTCGCCGGCGCTAGTGTTGGGGAATAGGGAGTGTCCTATCCAGGAATACTTCATCCATGGTATTAATGTGTGATTATGGGACTGACATGCCAGAGTACTGTTAACGCCAAATGTATTACAATGTGGCTAGTGACTCAATGGCATACGAAATCAGATAAAATTAAGTGTCTGCAATGTTTGGTTCCCCCTGACTGCTTACAGTCATGGTATGTTAGTATCTTACATTACCTTGCCCACTGTGTGGGGGGGGGGAGGGGAGGCGCCGTGCCTTTAACCCGCCCGTCTTTACCTGTCTGACCATTTGTCGACGCTCGCCAGGCGGCAGGACAGTAAGAAACACTTTCGCGTGCGTGAGGACGTGTTCGCAGTGTGGTCGGACGGCCGCCGCTACCCGGGATCCATTCAGGCCGTACTCCCTAACGGTAAGGCGGTGGTCTGCGGCTGTGTAGCACATCACAAGGCATAGCGCATTCTGTAGCACAGGGCTACATAAGACTTAAACGCAAACGTACGGAAATGTTTCCCGGACATTTGCAGACCGCGTGTGCACTGTGCAAAAACCATTAATGACTGCAGTTGGAGTAGAGTTTTCGCTCGTCGATAATAGAATCTTTAGCTCCTTGGTGCACCGAGCGTAATAGCAACCTTGCTACATTTCATTGCATACCTAATGCATAGTTTTTACAGCATCAAATGATCAAAGTTGTTAGGTCGGAAAAGACTCGTACCATTTTCATCCAGCACATATCGCGGTAACTTGGCCGATGCATCCACTGTCTGCACGTTTTACGATGGCCGTCTCAGCTGACCCAGCGAATTGCCTCCCGTTCTCAGACACATACCAGGTCATGTTCTTTGACGGCTTCATGAAGAAGCTCAAGTCGAAACAGCTGAGCAAGTGGACCCGGGAGAACGAGCAGCGGTTCGGCGCGGCCACCGGGCCGGGCCGGTCGGCGCTGCCCGCTCTGCCCAACACTCCAACGGCCATCGCCGGTCCGAGTGGCATCCCCGTGCCGCCGCCGGCCCCCGCCGGCTTCGTGCCCGAGGTGCTGGACACCAAGCGGAAGCGGAAGACCAATCCGATCGTCGAGGAACTCCTCGGACCGAAGCGGGCCCGTCGTCAGATGCGGGAGGAGTCCGAGAGCCGCCATCGCAGCCCGTCGGGCGCCCCGTCCACCGGCAGTGCGGCCAGCACGCCGGGCGGCAGCAGCAGGAAACAGAGCTGGGCCATCAGCTCGCGGGAGGACGCCGACGGCGACTCGGCCGACACGGGCTCCGAGTGGGACTCGATGCCAGAGGAGGAGGAACAGGAGGAGGAGGGTGCGGAGTATGTGGAGGACACCGGAGATGAGGAGGCGGAGGGAGAGGGAGAGGAGGAAGAAGAGGCCGGGAGCGGAGAGGAGGAGTCGGTCTACAGCGAGTCGGTGCTCTCCCTAGATGGTGAGTGGGAGAGTTTCGTCGGTGGTTCTAGGGTGACGCTTGAGCATTTGGTTGTGTACCTAGGTACTGCGTTCATGTTCTTGAGTACTTGTGCAATGTTCATGTCCATTAAAAAGACCGTGTTTTAGGTTGCTTATTGCATTCCGAACGCGTTTATGTGCGCGAGATCTTTAGTTTGTTCCAGCCTCACTATGCAGTGACGATGCATTATCTTCTTACGCGCTGACATAACGGCTCCCAGTTTCTTCACCAGAGCCTCCCTCCGCCGACAGACACTGCCAGCTCCAGTTACCGGTCCGCCTCTCCACCGGCGCCCACTCCCTCTCCCGCCGCGGCGCCGCCCAGCCCCGCCGACCCGACCGCCGAGCACGACCTGCCGCCCGGCTGGCGACGCGTGCTCACACCGCGCACACAGACCAACCGGCTGGACATCACGCTGTTCGCGCCGGACGGCACCCGGTTCCGGTCGCGGGCGGAACTGGAGCGGTTCGTGCAGCGGACCGGAGCCACACACCTGGAGCCCAGCGTCATGTTCCGCAGGCCGCCGCGATCAGGTGAGACGGGGGACCGTTTCGTGTCAGAGGGAAGCGGAGGTGGCGATCAATGGGAAAGTACTCGATGCCTGAGGAAGTCGCCAGACTCCACATGTGAAATTGGGATTGCTGAATTTGCTTTTACTCAGGGAGACGGGACTTGGGAATTTGCTTAAAAACGGGCTTGATGTGCAGGACTTACCCACCCATCGTGATGGAATGTAATTGATGGAATCTTGATGTTTTTTTTTCTAAATCACTGCTCTTCATATTGCTCTATGTCTGCTGTTAATCCCTGCCGGGCTGCATGTCTAGACTGTTCAAATGCCGTGCTCTCGCCTGACCGGATGACCTGCCGCAGAGACGGCGGGTCGCCGTCGTCGCCAGTCACCGCCGCGGTCCGTCGGCCGGCCGTCCTTCACCTCCTCTATGTCTGTACCGTCGGGCGGTCCACCAGAGGGCGGCGGCCGGCCGCCCCTGACCTCCACCCCGAGCCTGCCCGGCCCCGCCGCCCGCGGCATGTATGTGGCAGCGACCGGCACCCAGAAGAAACTGCCGCTCGGCTGGGCACGTGAGTTGATTGGGCGGTGATGCTTTGCGGCGGGGGCGCCTATGTTGTTGAGTTCATCGACAGTCATGGACAGTCATGAATGAATTGGCTCGATGGGACAGAGGCAGAGATAAAGGGATAATGAGATATGAGTCATTACGAGGGGCGTTCAAAAAGTTCCCGGCCTAACCATGAAGGAGTTGGAATTTCGGCCTGCAACGCGGTGTGTTCAATGATGTGTTATTGGGATGTCCACTTACATAGCCATTAACCAATCTGCCCTGTGATTGGTTCAGGCTGCTAATTAATCGTAACATAGTTTGCCATTCCCGGTCAGAATGGGCGACGCCCAGAAGAGAACAGTGATTTGGTTCATGTGTTGCAGAAAAATGCACCAAACGTTATTCACCGAAAGCTAGTGCCAACACATGTTGAGGTTTGTCGTTCTTACAGTAGCGTCAAAAAGTGGTTATCTCTGTTCAATTTTGGTCAACAGATCATTAATGGTCACCCCCACACTGGGCAGCCATCAACAGCATTGACTCAAGAAAATATGAAAAATAAGCACTTCTTTGTGAAAAATGACAAATGTGCTGGTCTGTGTTAAGTGAATACACTGAGACGTAGAACTTCGTTAAATTTTCATGTATTATCGATTTCTTGTGAACAAAAGTTTCGTCCTGAAACATAGGTAAACCCGATGAGTCACATAAAACGCATAAGAAGATATCTCGCGGAGAAATTATCAGCTCAATTCACGAACCAATTATATACAAAGAAAATATAAAAAGAGCCGAATAAAACAATTAAAGTACTCACTACAGTGCGCCAATTTCTTGCTATTCCTGAATTTCCTAAATTTCCACTTTTATGATCAACAAAATATTTCACATTACAAGAATTTAGTGCACCAGCTCGCGCGGAGTTTGGATGTGGTCCACTGACGATCGCGAATCTATCAAATTCACGATACACTCCCCCCGCCAGTGTCCGATTGGTTCACGAATTTCAAGAGTGAGATGAGACGATTTATTATCCATTTGATCACGATGTTCGATCTTCTCCAGTATTCGTTGTCAGCTGATCGTGTCTTGGGCCTCCGAGTCGTAATACTCCTCGTGCTACTTCTGCTGGACGGGTCTTCGATTCTTTCGGTTTGTCGTCTACATAATAAATGCATTTTCGTATCGAGTCTATAACTGTTCGGATTTGCTTCGCATGTCATCGCAAGCAGTCGTTTTCGTATCAAATTTGGCACCTTTGCGTTTGTGTTCGATCCAAATAGTCCAATTACTGTACAGTCCTTGATCTTGCAGTTTATTTCTATCGAAATATATTGTGTCTCTATGCCGATATTGGTCGCATCATGTCTTCCCCGTGTTATTGCTTTCATTAAACAATCAACATAGCAGTTTTCTTCGGAATTTCGTTTTTTGCACTTGTCTATAATTGCAAGGCTGACTACACCATTGAGTCGGTTTCGTGAGCGAAATGTTGTGAGAGCGTAGCGGTCGGCGTTGGCTCGGTTTTCTTCAAAGTCGATGTCGGTTCGTGTTTCGGTTCGTTTCAGATATTGATGTGTATGTTGGTCGCCACAGTTTCGGAGATGTATTGACTTGTGAATTTTAAGGATGTCAGCGGTAACCGGGTATTCACGAGGTCGCGGGAGATTGTGGTGCAAACCGTTCGTGCAATCTGGTAGGTCGCCATCTATCTTTCCGTGGTCGGGTTTTTGTCCTTTGTCTTTTGTCAGTTCCTTTTCCGTTGATCCTAGTTCTTCTATGTTCATATGAAGTGGCGTCTTGACGTTAGTTTCGTCGGGGTCAGATCTTATTGCACATGTCGCTCGTCTATCTTCGTTTTTCCTTTCAAAAGAGCCTCTGACGCATAACCCAAATTGATTTTCAAGGAGTTGGCTATTCCCGACGGTTCTTACGACTGTAGGCATGATGGCACAAGAGTCCACGCCTATTAGCATGTCGATCTTGCCTTTCGGTTTCGCGATTACCGATGCGTCAATCTCTGGAAAGTGACTTTGAATTTGTTTTGCGTCGAGCTGATTTAAATTTGCGGTAATCTCATCAATTTCGTATGCTGGAACTGTCCAAATTTTCCCTTTCAGGTCTTCTAGCGGAACATCTACTTTTTTGCTGTCGAGAGACGTGTGGTCATCTCCAACTTTTACTATAGAAAGTGTTGTATTTTTACCCTTTATCCCCAGTCTTTGGGTCGCACGACGAGTAATGAGTGAAACACTGGCACCCGAGTCCCACACTTTTTTGCTGTCGAGAGACGTGTGGTCATCTCCAACTTTTACTATAGAAAGTGTTGTATTTTTACCCTTTATCCCCAGTCTTTGGGTCGCACGACGAGTAATGAGTGAAACACTGGCACCCGAGTCCCACATGACATTGATGCGCTGATTTTTACATTGGATCGCGTTGACTGCCAAGATAGGACGATCTTCATTGCCGAGGACATTGTGTACTTCGTTGTTTTGATTTACAGCCGTATCTGCATATAATTTTCGATGAAATAATGGATGATGTCGTTTACCACAAATTTGGCCTTCCTCGAATACCGAACATTGGCTAGAATTCAGACAATTTTTGGCGATGTGTCTGCTAGTTTTCAGACACTTAAAACATGCTCCTGCTTGCTTTGCAACTTCAGACCGTTCTGCCACCGACATTTCTAGGAATTTTGCACAAAATTCCACTGAGTGGCTGGGCGTCTTATGAATCCAGCACCACGATCGAGATTCCGGAGATCGATGATTTTGAGTGCTACCCGACGCATAATTTACAACTTCTTGCTTTATGTTTGATGATGACGTTTCTTGGGCTGGATTTGCTAAAGTGTGATGAACATTTCTCGCTTTTTCGGTTCGGATGTCTTGTTCGGTATATTCTATGACTCGTTTTTCTCGAAGAAGATAATTTAGAAGGCGTTCAAACATACCATTTGATACATCAGTTGAATCCACTAACAAAATCCATTCCCGTTTTTGGGTGGGCGGCAACAATTTTTCGACCATACTGATCATTGCGATAGTATCCATCTCTTCGGTTAAATTTGTACGTTTCAAATCGAGCCAACATCTTTCGATTGTGTCGACCATCCTAACGAACTTCTTTGTGTCACCCTCTTGAACCGGTTTTATCGACGTGATGTCGTATATAATAGAATCCACGAACTTCCGAGGATTTCCAAAGACATTGTCTAATCTTTGAAACATTTGGTCATAATCATCGGCAACTCCCTTTACGGTCTGCAAAGCCGATCCTAACAAACAAGATCGAAGGGCATAAGCGTCTTTGCCATACGCAGGTTCCATAAGTCTCTTGAAATCGTGTTTGAAATTTGCGTACTCTCGAATGTCGCCCGTAAACCGAGGAGCATCTAGAGCCTTTACTTGAATTTGCCTTGAAGAAGAGGAATTTTCTGAGACATGAGAGGCGTGAATTGCTCGAATTTCGTCCAAAGTCGATTCTACTACTTTCATATACTCGTCACATTCCTGCAATAGGCTGTCGAGAACACCGTGCGATGCGTATTCGTTAATCGTTTCGATGAGTCGATCGTTCGCCTTATCTAATTCTTGAAAGCTAGCGCGAATGTCATCGAATTTATCCTTTAACACTGCGAAGGGTTGCTGGTGATGGCTTAACTCTTTAAAAGCGTTGCATTTTCTCGAGAACTTACTTTTTGCGCTGGCTCGAGCTCGTTTCGTCTTTCCAATCGGTTCCATAATAATGTCTTCATTTGCCTTCATTGTTTAAAGTTTCAAGAAATTTCTAGTAATCAAGCAAAGTAAATTCAAATATTCAAGTAATTTTCAATCATTGTTCTTAATAGCTTGTAGACGAAATGTTAAGTGAATACACTGAGACGTAGAACTTCGTTAAATTTTCATGTATTATCGATTTCTTGTGAACAAAAGTTTCGTCCTGAAACATAGGTAAACCCGATGAGTCACATAAAACGCATAAGAAGATATCTCGCGGAGAAATTATCAGCTCAATTCACGAACCAATTATATACAAAGAAAATATAAAAAGAGCCGAATAAAACAATTAAAGTACTCACTACAGTGCGCCAATTTCTTGCTATTCCTGAATTTCCTAAATTTCCACTGTTATGATCAACAAAATATTTCACATTACAAGAATTTAGTGCACCAGCTCGCGCGGAGTTTGGATGTGGTCCACTGACGATCGCGAATCTATCAAATTCACGATACAGTCTGGAACAACGCAGCAGAAGCGGAGGTGTCTATCAGGTTCCTCAAAGCCATTCTTCGATAGCGTATTAATATGTTTAAGATCTCTGCAAGATGCATCCCCCTTTGCTGACTCCAGAGGAAAGGCAAACTCGAAAGGAGGCGTAACGCGAAAATTTTGGCCCCTATATCGAAGATCCAAAAGAGTTCATTGAACTACTTGTTACCGTGGAGGGATTGTGGGTGTCACACGTTGACCCTAAGGGCGTGAACGAGTTGCACAAGTGGAAGCACACTGAGTAAAGGCCACCAAATGTGTGCGACGTGTCTAAATCAGACGGCAAGGTGACAGTGGTTGCATTTTGGGATGCTGGCGGGGCTCTGCCCGTCAACTTTCCAAAACAGGGGCGCACAATTAATGATGAATACTACACCTCCCTTCGGTAACAGTAGCGAGCAGCATATATCAAGGAGAGACTAGGGAAGCTGACTTAAAGTGTGCACCTGATCCAGGACCACGCACCAGCACACATGAGCAGGGTGACGATCAGCGAAGCAGTGAGCTGTGGCCTCGAGTTGTTGTCACAGCCACTTTTTTATCCGTACCTTGCACCCTCAGGTTGTCACCTCTTCCCCAACACAAGGAAATTGCTTAGCAGTGGCAACTTCGCTGACAGCAAGGAGACAAAAGCAGCCGTCTTGGACGTGCCAGATGCGTTCAAAACCCACTTGGCTGTGGAGACCCAGGGGCCTCTCGCGAAGCGCTGCGCGAAATGTTTTTGTCTTAACGCTGGTTATTTGACTAAATGAACATTTTTGGTCTAATAAGTCGACGTCGTATCTCTACTCCTTCATGGTCGGGCCGAGAACTTTTTGAACGCCCCTCGTAGATGGGGGCTTTATTGTTTGTCGTCCAGATGATAAGGATACAAACTTAAAACTTTGATACTTTTTATACGACTTACATGCTTCTGTCTGACTTTTTGTGCCGCGGTTAGACGTGACCAATGGATTATTTTGCCACTAGAGTAAAATGAAAGCCTCGCTTCGAGACACTTCCATTACTGTTCTAGCTGTCCTGCAAGGTTCTTTCTCATTTACATCCTAGTTGATGGCTCCGGGTTGGTACCAGTTACGATTTTTCGACTACCGACCGCTGCTGCTGAGACTCTGACCGTCTTATGTGCGTGTCTCCACCAGTGGAGCCGATAATCGATAAACCAGCAGAGCCGGAGCAGCAGGACTTCACGTGTGTCGACCGAGACTGCAACAAAAAGTTCCGCAACGAGAGTCTGCTTCAGGTGGGTAGGGGCTGTCTATCGTGTTCTCTGGCCCTCGTGGAGGAAAGGATGTCGTGAGATAGTAGCACCTGGTGGCTGGTGATGGGGAAGGATGTACAGCGATGACCCTGTCACCGGTCCGGGGCTTGTAACCTTCTTGTTCGGTGCGGGCTGTATTTCATCAGGACTACAGCCGTTACAGGATTACTCAGTACACAGCGATATTGAGTATATTATAATGTACATCTGGATGTTTATATGACCCAATTTTTATTGTGATAATAAGCGTGTTTTGTTCTGTGCTCCCCGCAGATGCACATCAAGCACTACCACCCGGAGCTGCGGCACTTGGTGAACGCCCGGTCGGCGAGTGTGGTGCGCCGCGCTGAGTCGCGCACCATGCAGAGCCAGCTCAGCGCCGAGGGCGCCGGCGGCGGCGGCGTCCCGTCGCCCCGGCTGCCGCTGGCCCGGCTCCGCTCAGTGGGCGAGTCGGCACAGAGCCGGGAGCGGCGGCGCGGCAGCAGCGGCGAGCGCGCCTGGCCGCCCGAGCCGGCGCCGCGCTCCCCGCCCCCGCGGCCCGACTCGCCGCTGCTGTCGGTGACCAGCGCCGTGCCGCCGACCGACGATCCCAAACTGCTGGCCGAGCCAGTGGTGTCTGTCCGCTCGGACGTGAGTCAGCTGGCGGCGCTGCACCACGCCCGCTCCGTCTCCTCCGAGCGGCAGCGCAGTCGCAGCTTCCGGCGGCCGCGCCGCAGGCAGAACACCTCTGAAGAGGCGCCGGCGCAGCTCCCAGACTTTATCCAGATCGTGGAGCAGGAGGGCCTGCACAAATCCTCTGCGCGCCGGCCGCTGGGCCGTCTCCCACGCCGGCCGACCGACTCGGGGGAGAGCGGTCGCCTCCTCTCCTATACCTCTCTGGAGGAGGTGGGCTCGCCTAGCTCGCCGGCGCCGTCGGCTACTTCAACGCGCGACGCCGACGCCGGGGCCGATGAGGACCTGATGAGTGAGCCGGACAAGCTAGAACACCACGAGGTGATCAGGTGTTCGTGTGGCCATCAGGAGGAGGACGGTCTGATGATCCAGTGTGAGCTGTGTCTGGCCTGGCAGCACGGTGTCTGTCTCGGTATAGACACGGACGACGAGGTGCCGTCGCGGTACGTGTGCGCCACGTGCCGGCACCCGTGGCGCGTGCGGCACACGCAGCGCTACGTGTGGGACCAGCAGCTGTTCCGGGACGGCGCGCTGCTGCGCCTGCCGTTCGGCGGCGCCGACCCGGCGCTGGAGCGCGCCCAGGCGGTGATGCGCGCTGCCTGCGACCTCACGGCTAACGTGCTCAGCTTGCAGGCTGTGATGCGCAGTCTGAGGACAAAGCTGGCCATCGCCAGTGACCTCAACCACCCCAAACTGTACCTGTGGGCGCGCCCCTGGTCTCCGCCTCCGGAGCAGAGCGGCGACCAATCAGAGACTATAACCGGGGGAGAGAACCAATCACAGGCAGTCACCAAACCCGACGACCAATTGGAGTCGACGTCAACCGCCGACAGCCAATCAACTCTCGCGCCGGGCGGGATCTACCAATCAGATCAGACGACTCCGGCGGCTGACCAATCAGAGTCACTGCTGGCCGCTGCCCTGGAGAGTCCCGCTCTTCTGGCGGCGGTGAACTCGGCGGCCGCGGAGCTGACGGCCGCCCCAGCCGGTCTGGACACCAACACAGCCTCGGAGCCGGGGGAGCTGAACGGCGCCGGACCGGAGACGGACCCGCTGGCCACCCTGTCCTCGGACCAGAAGGCGCTTCTGACAGCCTCGCTGGCTGCGGTCAGTGATGCGGTGAAGGATGCTGAGGGTACCTCGGCGGGCGATGGTGCGGCGGCAGAGGTGCCGGTGACTTCTGAGGCTACACCCGCACCGACTGTCAGTAGCGGGGAAATAGCGCCCCCGGCGAGCGGCAGCGGGGAGACGACGGCACCAGCTGCTGGCAGCGGGGAGAAGGCAGTCCCATCGACTGACAGCGGAGAGACAGCGACCGGCAGCGGAGAGACGACAGACGCAGTGACCGACAGCGGGCAGACGGCTGCCCCACCGGCTGCCAGCGCGGAGACACCGGCCGACAGCGCCCCACCTACCGACAGCGGGGAGGCAGAGACCGCGCCGGCGTCCGAGCCTCTGGAGGAGACCGATGACCCGCTGTCTGGCGTGCTGGACGCCATTGTGGGCCTGCTGCCGTCTCAGAGTGACCTCGATCAGCTGATGGACGGACCCGTCACCGAGCCGACGCCAGCGCCGCCAGGTGGGTGCCCGGGGACGGGGGAACTGACAGTGCGGAGGTGTATCAGTTTTGAGGTTGACCTTAACATCACCGGATATTGTAATTGAGTGTTTCTAAAGAGTAGTGAATAGTGACTTAAATTACCGATAACGACAAGGGTCTGGGCCCTGGGTGATTGCTGAGAACGAACGGCAGTGAGACCCCTTTTCCGCGACAGACTGTGTATAAGAATACACAGAAGGTGATTTTGGAGAAGGTGATTTTGACCGAATAGAAAGAAATGATAGAACGCGGTAGAACCTCTTCAAATGCAGTGTAAATTTACCGCGCCGTCCAGGGGTGTGTGATTCCTCACCAACTTGTAACTTCAAAGTCTGTATTGACTGTTTGACGACGTTCCGCCCCATCGCTGACCGATGGCTCCTCTGTGCCCCCCACAGCGGCGCCGGTGGGCGAGGCGCGGATCGACCCGGCCACCTGTCAGGTGAACCTGCTGCAGCACGTGACGCAGATGCAGACGGCGCTGATGACCAGGATGGACGTCATCGAGGGACACGTGGATGGTGAGTGATGACAGCGGCCGGCGCCGTCACCCCTCACCCTCCGCCGCCGCTGCCGGCGCCGGTCATTTTACTGTGGTTTTACGAGTCGAGAATTTTTTTAACGTTTGCTGAGTGTTAGATGGAGATATAGCCGTGTCTTGTCTTGTTTCGGAATTGTCGTTTCCACTTACCTATCTGCTATTTAACGTGCTCTCGACTTTCCTGGTACACTTGGTAGTTGGTACTTACTTGCACTTGATTTACCGGTGTTCCTGACAATACACATTGCATTGCATATAGACACTGACGTGGTGTTTCCCTATCCCCGGCCCTAGAGTCTTGACATGCTATGTCCCTATTATCTTACCTCACATCTGGGATTTTTGCGCTTCTGGCCCAACACTTGGCATGCAGTATCCCTGACCTAAACCCTTACCTGTAGTGGCCTGGATCTTTGACAGATTCCGAATCCACTGTGTCCCTGACCTAGACGCTGAGCTGCCGTATTTCCAACCCCTGACTGGTCGTGTCGTGTCCCTACCTCTAACCTAACTTCTACTAACCAAACGTGACCCTGATCCAGTGCTGGAAATGAGGCCGCTTTCTGGTCCCGGCCTTTTATTCTCCGGGTGGGTTATCCCCGTCTAGCGCTTAGCCTTTCGGGACCCGCTCAGAGCCGCGGTTGTTTTCGCCGCTCGGCCCTTTCGAGATGCAAAGTTGATAGTTACACGAAGTTTATTTGGGGCCTCTGAAAATGCGAATTCGAAATTAATCGATTTTATAAAACATTTTTCTTTCATCTACATGCATACATTTAACCCGCGCCCTGCTGGGGGTCCTGGATTTCCACGCCCTGCTGGGGGGGGTGTTTGAACACCCCCCCCCCCTTCTAACTCGGCTCCTGGGCCACGTAGCGATACGGGGAAGGCGGCGTTCGAAAGAGCGTCAAAAATAATGAGGAAATCACTTCGGTCAATTTTTTGGTCAGGTCAAAGGTCAGGTCACCAGAGGTCATTGAAGGCAAAATTTCGCCGATTTCCAGGTCGAATGTCGACAATTTCCAAGAAGCCAACGCATAACTCGGGAACCAATAGAACTACAGCGCCGCGGAAAAGCGCATTCGATAGCCCTATTAACGCCCTTTCTGAGTAATTTTCTCAGATTTAACCTAACGTCAACGGTTTTGCCTGCAGGGGGCAAAAACTGCAAAAATAGCCGATTTTTTCGGAAACAGTTTTTCTGCAATAACTTTTGACCCAAGCATTATACGAGCTTACTTTTACCGGCATCGCGTTCCTCTCGTCAAGACGCATCGAATGAACTATAACTTGACCTTGAAAGGTCAACTTGAAAATTTGACCTCAGGTCAAGGTCATGACCTGACCGGAAAGGGTCATGTTGCATATCAGTCGATCCGTATCGTCGAACTGAACACATCTAAGGCGTTTTCATCGCTCTAGCATGCCTCTATCAAAAGTTATTTGCGAAAAACTGTTAGATACCATTCGTGACCTAAGATGACCTCAGGGCATAAACAGGGGTCACGGACACCATTTTCATGTTCAGTGTGTCTAAACCACTTGTAATTCAGTGTTTAGGAGTGTTTATAATGTCTTTCGTCCAAAAGAGGCGCATTTCAATTTTCTCCCATTGACTTATAATGGGGAGGTCGCAAAATTGACCTGACCTTAGGTCATCGATATCAAAATTCTGAGATATACATTTTGTACATGCTATTGCTCTTAGCAATCGCTGAAAGTTTCAAAGCGATCGGTCACTCGGTGTAGCTATGACAGACATTGAAACTTTTTATGGGGTGAGGTCACTTCAAGTGACCTGGTGACCTGACCTTGAATGACCTTGGTCTGAAATTTTCACAACATGTGTAGAATTGATGTGTGATAAGGTGTACCAAAAACGGCGGCGCTCCGCGCCGCCGTTTTTTGAGATATTCGCGAAAAACCACAAGGGGGGGGGTGTTCAAACACCCCCCCCCCCAGCAGGGCGCGGGTTAACAGTATCTCCAGACTAAGCTGGTTTGGCTGGCCCTAAATAAGCTTCGTGTGACTATTAACCCGCGCCCTGCTGGGGGGGGTGTTTGAACACCCCCCTTGTGGTTTTTCGCGAATATCTCAAAAACGGCGGCGCAAATAAGCTTCGTGTGACTATTAACCCGCGCCCTGCTGGGGGGTGTGTTTGAACACCCCCCTTGTGGTTTTTCGCGAATATCTCAAAAACGGCGGCGCGGAGCGCCGCCGTTTTTGGTACACCTTATCATACATCAATTCTACACATGTTGTGAAAATTTCAGACCAAGGTCATTCAAGGTCAGGTCACCAGGTCACTTGAAGTGACCTCACCTCATAAAAAGTTTCAATGTCTGTCATAGCTACACCGAGTGACCGATCGCTTTGAAACTTCCAGCGATTGCTAAGAGCAATAGCATGTACAAAATGTATGTCTCAGAATTTTGATATCGATGACCTAAGGTCAGGTCAATTTTGCGACCTCCCCATTATAAGTCAATGGGAGAAAATGGAAATGCGCCTCTTTTGGACGAAAGACATTATAAACACTCCCAAACACTGAATTACAAGTGGTTTAGACACACTGAACATGAAAATGGTATCCGTGACCCCTGTTTATGCCCTGAGGTCATCTTAGGTCACGAATGGATCTTAGGTCACGAATGGTATCTAACAGTTTTTCGCAAATAACTTTTGATAGAGGCATACTAGAGCGATGAAAACGCCTTAGATGTGTTCAGCTCGACGATACGGATCGACTGATATGCAACATGACCCTTTCCGGTCAGGTCATGACCTTGACCTGAGGTCAAATTTTCAAGTTGACCTTTCAAGGTCAAGTTATAGTTCATTCGATGCGTCTTGACGAGAGGAACACGATGCCGGTAAAAGTAAGCTCGTACAAGGCTTGGGTCAAAAGTTATTGCAGAAAAACTGTTTCCGAAAAAAATCGGCTATTTTTGCAGTTTTTGCCCCCTGCAGGCAAAACCGTTGACGTTAGGTCAAATCTGAGGGAATTACTCAGAAAGGGCGTTAATAGGGCTATCGAATGCGCTTTTCTGCGGCGCTGTAGCTCTATTGGTTCCCGAGTTATGCGTTGGCTTCTTGGAAATTGTCGACATTCGACCTGGAAATCGGCGAAATTTTGCCTTCAATGACCTCTGGTGACCTGACCTTTGACCTGACCAAAAAATTGACCGAAGTGATTTCCTCATTATTTTTGACGCTCTTTCGAACGCCACCTTCCGCGTATCGCTACGTGGCCCAGGAGCCGAGTTAGAAGGGGGGGGTGTTCAAACACCCCCCCCCCCCCCACCCCCAGCAGGGCGTGGAAATCCAGGACCCCCAGCAGGGCGCGGGTTAACTTTGCATCTCGACTGGGGCGAACGGCGAAAACAACCGCGACCCTGAGTGGGTCCCGAAAGGCTAAACGCTGGACGGAGATAATCCACCCGGAGAACACCGGGACCAGAAAGCGGCCTCATTTCCAGCACTGCCCTGATCTCTGACCAGTCCAGCCTCTAACACCTGGCGGGTCGTGACCCTGACCCCGACCTCTGGTGTATCTGACCCCGCCTCCGTCCGGCAGCGCTGGAGAAGGTGGCAGAGCTGGAGCCGGACTGGGAGAAACAGCAGCCACAGGTGTGCCGAGCCATGCTCCACTCAGTGATGAGGGACGTGCGTCTACTGGAGCGGCTCGGCCGACTCAGCTGACCGACCCGGGCCCCTCTGTGACGTCACGGTGACGTCATCAGGGGGTCAGGCGCCGCGGGCGAGGTGTTTCGGGGGCGTGGTTATTTTTTGCGTGGGATGCTGAGTGAGGAATGGAGTGCCGTCAGCTGACTTCGATCGGCCAGGACTAAGCGATAGTGGTTGAATGTTGTTGAAGCCTTTTTGTCGTGTTTAGCGTTCTAAACTGAGCGCATCGCTTATCAAATAAGATTAGGCGAGCAAATATCGTCCGGCACTCGCAGTACAAACCTTTGTGTACCGATATTAGTCATGTTTGCGTAACATTGCGAACAAAGCAGATCGCATGGTTCAGCCCGATTCATTGTGCTTTTCCAATAAATAATGAAACCGCTATAATGTCTCATATGTGTTAGTGGAACTTGTCAGCTCAGCTAGGGGTTTACAAGTTATAATGAAGCTCTTCAAACATCGCAGTATCAATTCGCAACTCAAGACCCCTGGTGGAAGTCAACAAGCCAGCTCGCCTATGAAAACAGGAAAGCGTGGATTACTTGGCTAGCCACTGTTGACATGTATCGGCGGATATGACGACGATGTCTGCTGCTAAATGAAGTCGTGAGGCCAATTTTACCAACAGAAAAATAGCCACCTGCCGGATTTTTTGCCTGAAGACCGCTTTACATGCGGACAGTAAGTGCGATGGACACGTAAGCGGATAGGGCTTTACCGCTTACGCTCCGTATGTGAAGCGGTCTTTAGGCAAAAAATTCCGGCAGGCGGCTATTTTTCTATTGGTAAAACTGGCCAGTGGTTGAGAAATACGCACTTCTCCGCCGATCACAGCTTCTAAATTCCTTCCCAACCTTCAAACACCTGCCAGAGAAACTGCATGAGCTGGTCTAGAAAACAAAATGGGTTTTATTTGGTATCTCTCAATAGATGACGTACTGGTTTGCCTGCCGCTATGGACAACCACGCGAATAAGGCGTGAAGATATAGACAACATGCCACGCTCACATACATCTGAGACCAGGAAACGCGGGGCCAAAGAATCACAACGAAATAATTCGGACATGTAGAACCAGACCGAAGGTAGAGTCGCTTAGCGATTATCAATGTCGTCAAAATACACACGTGCTGTCATATTAGCAGACATTTAGCGGGGAGCGTACATGTGATCAATTATACGCCAAGCAGTTCATAGCGTCACGCGTTGTAGGAACGGGACACCAATACATAATACATGTCAGAGGACAGGCAATTTTGTTTAGGGTCCACAGACCATTTCGGTGCACGATTTCTCAATACACCTGTGGTGGGCATGCTGATTTGAGAAGAGCGATCAAATTTACAACACTGCAACAACCAAACTGAAAACATGGAACGCTAAAGGGGAATGAACGGTGGTTCCGCAAAACAAAACACCAACGCACAGGATCTACCATCGACGAAGCGGATTCTAACAATAAGATCAAGTTATAATGTGGTCAAGCTTGATATAGGAGTCCCCGGCAGTCGAAGATCCCGTAACTACACTATCCACACGGTTGGAACACCGCCCGCTTCCCGACGCGGGATTACTAGGAGCCCTGGGCACCACCCCATGCACTCATGCAGCCTCATCTCTCCTTGCGGCCCGAAATAGGGAAAACTCTGACACCTTATCACAGGATGTCCAGAGCACATTTCACAAGATGCTAGACAGGATCTCTTTAGCGCTTTCGGATAGCTTGTCAGGGAACTTGATGTCGAATGTAACGATCAGGTCTCCGCGCCGGTTCGGCTCCTTGGGGTAGGGCAGACCGCGGCCGAGCAGGCGGCGCGTGGTGGTCGGCTTGATGACCTCTTTGGACAGGTCGAGTGGCACCTTCTCTCCGGTCAGCGTGGGGATCATCACGGTGGTGCCGCACAGCGCGTCCTTCAGCGTCACCGGACACGCGTACTTGATGTTGGACTCGTCCCGCTTGAACACCGCGTGGGACTTGTCGCGGATGATGAAGACCACGTCGGCGGGAATTTTGCCGTGCCCCTGGTCTCCCTCGCGCTGGAATGTGATCTTGGTGCCGGCCTTCCAGCCGGGCCGGACGTTGATGGCCAGCACCTTGTCCTCTCGGTTCAGCGACTGGCCGTCGGGGCTGAGCACCTTCCGCGAGATCTTCATCTTTTTGGTGCAGCCCTTGGCGATGTCCTCCAGCGCCACGTAGAGGTCGTGCTCGAGCGCCGGGTCCTGTTGCTGACGCGCCTGCTGACGCTGCTGCTTCGGCGGCGGGCCCGTGTGGAACGACTGGGAGCGGAACGTGCTGGGCCGCGGGCCGAACGGACCGCCGCCGTCTCCGGCGTCCATCTCCTCGTCGAAAATGACGCCGCTGCCGCCCATGCCCTGTGTGAAAATGGTCTCGAACGGGTTGTTGGTGCCGAAGAACTGGGCGAAGGTGGCGCGCGGGTCGCCGTGGTACGCGTAGGTGAAGCCCTGGCCTCCACCCATGCCGCCCATGCCACCCGGCTGGCCCATCCCTCCGCCGCCGCCGCCGCCGCCGCCGCCCATATTCCCCTTAAGACCCTCCTCTCCATACTTGTCAAAGATCTCCTTCTTTGTTTTATCACTCAGAATTTCATAGGCTTCAGCGATGTCTTTAAACTTTTCTTCAGCACCCGGAGACTTGTTTTTGTCTGGATGGAACTTCAGTGCCATTTTTCGGTAGGCCTTTTTGATTTCATCATCGGAAGCATTACGTCCGATGCCCAGCACCTTGTAGAAGTCTTTTCCCATGTCTTCCGCTCTGAAAGAAGCACTTCTATGTGCTATTCCTGAAACAATTTAAAGAGAATTAGGATACCATTTGAATTCAGATGGCCCTGAAAGGACTTCTAACAAAAACCAGGAATACGATGTAGATGCTTCTTAAAAAGATACATGGATCAACTGATTTCCATTCTGATTTCCTGATTTCCATTCCATCAAACAATTATTTCCATCATTGTTTGACCTTGTAATGTAACTGTGTGATTTAGAGCCGCCAGTGCATTGTGCACCAAAAAACGTTCTTATGTCTTATTTTTTCATTTGAATGCTAGGATGCATGGAACAGGTGAATTTTTCTTATTTCCGCCCACTCCAGCCGTTGATTGGCTGATCAATTTTTAGATCTTTGCCTCGTACCTAGTTTCCCAACTGATACCAACGACTGAAACCACAGTCACACATCACTTCTGCAGTGGACTGTACCTACCTATTAAATGAATAAAAACAGAAATAGTGATTGCCTCCTTATGCACCATTTTGATTTAAACTTTAAAGTAAAAAAAAACCTGAAGAAATTTGCAAAACAAAAACAAAAAGAAAGAACATATCCTACGAAGGTTGAAAAGTGAGAAGAAGAACACACATCAATACTTATTACTTACAATACTTTTACAGAAAACATATATGAGTTACACGCAACCACAGGCTGAGTCAGGCCACGGTATATAGAGAACTGAGTCAGGCAAGGTTAGGTAGTAGGTACCAACCAGCTGTCATGTTACAACTTACATAAAGGTAAGGTTAAGCCAGATTAGATTAGGTTGTCATTTCAGCATTGAGGGTACCATATGTTTTGCATTAGATGATCATACAAACAAGCTTCTAGGCTGATACAATACAATCAGGGCCTCGTCTAAGGAATTTTCACTGGGGGGGGGGCGGGGGCAGAGACTGAAGGACCCAAACCTAGGGTACCCCCAAATCCTGTTTTCTCACCGGATTTAGGCCACTTGTTTTTCGTCACAGCCCTGAGACCATTATTTTTTTTTTAACAAAAAAAAAACAAACAAAAAACAAAAAAGAGCCATGCTCGTATAGGGGGGGGGGGGGGTCGAACGGACCCCCCCCCCCCCCCGGTTTTTCACGAATAACTCACGTAAAAGCGGCTGACCGCGACGACACATTCAGTACCCTCGCGTTAGTCAATTTTACACCTACTCTGAAAATGTCATGACCCTGACCGTAATGACCTTTGACCTGTGACTTCTTTTCGAGACCATATTTGGCCGGAATCGCGATTCGGCGTATGTCGGCTCGCATTAGACGCGCGTTTGCAGTCTTTTCGTGGTTTCAAGCGTTCAAACATGGAATATGATATTGCTCCCATGCATTAGGGTAGGCGTCAAGGCCACCGCGAGGTCAGGTCAGGTCATTGGCTTTTGATGACTTCGGTTCACTTTTTCGAGTTTTACATGATTCTAGGCCAGTTTTTGGAGCTGAATTCGAATTTAGCAACCATTTGAACATTTACGAAGTAGTTTTGGTGCCTTCGTAACATGTTGCGAAGCTGTCGGAGCCAGAGGCGGTTGCCACCTACTACGAATACCCGGCAAAACCCTTACTGGTTGACTTGACCTGACCTGACCCGACCTGGCCTAAATGCATGAAGACATTATCTGTGATAATTAACTAACATGATATTCGTGATCAGCACCCCGAAAAAACATAGCAGCCACCCTTTACCACGTTGTAACAGGTCCCGCGATTTTCCCGACTTTAGACCGAAGATTAAGGCCTTAAAATGAGGCATCATCGGCTTCCTCTCGTGACGGGCAACACGGTGGTTTTCTCCGCGAAGCTCTAGCTCGATCAGGGGCGAAACGGCAAGGGGCAAGGTAGAACGCCCCCCCCCCCATACGTTCGCGGCTGGAAAAACACTAATACGGGCGAGAGTTAAGATTAATGTGTTACCCCCTCACATTGCCCCACCAGACAGTGCTAAACATATTTATCCGTGTTGGGCCGTGGGCGTTTGATTGAGTGGGAGGGGGGGGCGGGGCACAAACACGAGTTGGGTCACTGGCAGCTGCCAATTGACAATTTGCTACTTGAATCACAGTAGCAAAATCACAGAATCACAGTGAGTACTCAGGTCTATAAATCACAAAACTCTGGCTTTTCCCGTAGTCATGGAGCATGAACAGTTTTTGAACAAATAATTTAACGTTTCTCGTTAAATCCGTATAAGACTCCTAACAAAAACGCATTGCATAGAAGGTAATTTTGTGAGAAGTTCACGTTTTGACTGGGGGGGCAAATGTTGGCCACTGGGGGGGCAATCCGCTCGACTGGGGAGGCAATTGCCCCCCCAGTTAACATGTTAGACGAGGCCCTGAATACAATGGTTTGTGACAATATGGTGTGGTGTTTATTCAATTTTGAGCATGGGGTGCAAAAGGGGATTTAACAAAAACAATAAAATGCACCGACCTTATATTCAAAATCTTCAGGCCAAGGTAGCCTCAGGCACTAGCAAGCTCTCAAAAGTAGTCAAGTTGAGTCAAGTCCAGAAACCCATATGATTTCAGCCTGAGCCCAAACGACTGAATTTGAATTGAATTTATTGAACTCAGACGAACAGGGTGGAAAAATCTTGAATTGACGAATAACGCTTATTCTCTGTTCACCATGCATCGCGATCGCAGCATTTGACTAACCAGCATCGTCTATTTTTAGCAAAATTTCAACATATGCGGCTGTTAGTGCTTTTGAACAAAAATGAATGAAACAGCTACACTTCTATTTGTCGCATATCTGTTACTACCAGATTAAAAATTTCCTTGAAGAAAATTCCCTTACGCATGTTACAGTATTAGGCACACGAGGCCAGCATTGCTGCATTGCATTGCATGAGCCGCAATAAGAACTAGAAGCATGAATCGAATATCTTGATATATGCTAAACATAGGGGTGGGCAAACGGAAATACAGCTATAAACTATATAATGTACTATTTGCTACATGATGTGTAGGGAAATACTGTACAATCTGAAGTCGTCGTCCATTCCCCAGGTCAATTGGTTCGGTGACTTTCAAATGCCCTTCCTCGGTCAAGCTTGATCCACTTTCCTCGGTCAGTCTTGGGTCAGTCCTGGATCCACAGTCACTTTGCGCGGTACTTTTAAGACAGACTGTTCTATAGTTTAGTGTAGTGTAGTCGTAGACTAGGTACTACACTGTGTAGTACTACATAGTAGTTAGTACCACCCGACCTTGTCCACAAATACCTACATTTTATCAGGTACTAGGTAGGACCTATTTGTCACTGTCAACCTGACTCCTACCATGATAATATAGGTACAAATGCATATTGATTATTGATGCAAATGTGTTGGTGGCACGTTATGCACAAAGCTTGTTATGAATACCCTGACGGTCACTGTAAATCTAAACAGAATGCCGGAAAAAATCACAGACCATCGCCATTTCACCCAAACTTTTTCGTACACCAAGCAAAGAAAAGTTTGTACAAGATGCCGGTTATCATTTCCGACTTCTTCTTCAATTTTTGAGGTAGGTACGGTAGGTACTTTTACAACAAAGTACCCACGCCAACGCACGAAAGCTTCGTGTATGCTTAGCGTCAATATACTTTTGACTTATTGTAAATTGTTATCTATTGTCGCTATAAAGAGGTTAGAGTGCTGTAAGGAATGCAATGTCATTCTTCCTCGCCTCTTGAATCTACCGTCCTTGTCGTGACCATCCAGCCTTTATGGCAGTCCAGCGATGCACGCGGTCCGCATCATTTCTTTCTTTGTGTCAAGGACGGGAATTATGAAGTGAATTTGAAATATCACTTTACAAAGGCGCTTTGTTTCGAGTCATGTACCGTTTATTGACATTAGGCGATCATGACATTGCACCATATCCTTTCACCACGCCAGCTACGTTAGTTGGAAGGATTCTGCAGTCTGTACACAAAATGTAAAACCATATCCATTATTAAATAGAATATAGAGGGCGTTATACCAATACAAATGCGGATAAAGACGTCGTGAGCAAGAAACCAGCTGTCCATGCAAGTGCTGCAAGAATGAAAAGAGCAAATCCTTTATCGATACAAGTTCCTGATAACCAGTAGGTGACTAACTATAAGAAAAGACACTACGAGTGGATATAATATCAGACACAGGCATATCCCAGGACCCTCACCATTGCACACACTTAAACGAAGCATCCGATATAAACCGACAGGCCCACCATTCAGCATATAAAACGCCAGCAAATAGGGAGGCGACATACAAGCTAAACAAGGAAACCGATTAAATCGACAAATGTCAACACACGCCGCACCACGATGGCAATGTACAGTGTACACACTATACAAGGCAGCCGGTTTGGAAGGGTCGGCGGCCTACCAGTCGCGTACTCTCGGCGTTCGGTCGACGGCAGGTCGCGGCCATGTCTGATGTCCCGGTCGCCGGGGCACTGGCTGCGTACCGAGACACTGTCGATTATCACAGCCCAGCAGGTCACAAGGGTGCGGCGACGGCACCGCGGCGCGCCGCGCGGACAAAATACTCTGTTTGATCAGACTCGGCAGCAGCACTCGCAGCAGAAACGGCAGCTCTTCGGCCGCCGCTCCCCATAACGGCAAGTAGTGGGGTTTGGTTTAAACATAAACAGTAAACACGAAACGTTGAAGCCAGTAAAGTGCCTGTTCAAAAACATCACATTATCTGAGGTATGAATACGAGCACGTTTGGAATACGTCACCTAGTTACGTAATCCGTCACGAGCGATAAGTGGTTATTAGAACTTGACTTGTGTGCACGCCCTTCCGGTAACAGACGAGAAGAGCAAGTATTGGTAGCTGCAGGATCAAATCAGCCTGAAAACAGGAACAATTGAATGCTGCATTGATTCAGGAGTTGTCATTTTCGTGCGGGTGCAAGCCCTCGGGTGTCCGAATCAGGTTACAGACAAGTATAAGCGGCCTGTGTTTCTTATAGCGAGCATACCAATAGGGGGCATGAAATGGTAACGACAGTTCTTTGTTTACAAAAAAAAACAGCATTAATTTTAGCTCTATCCCCGAAAAACCGGCTGTTTGCATTTTCCAGCGAGAGGACTAGGCAATCAAGAAGTCATTCAGCAGTACCAAAAAGCCCAAATAAATGGTCACTCAGTCGGACTTCGAGAGGATGCCTCCCAGTGTTCGCGTAGTGCGTCGTCGTAGCTCTCTGACAGACCCGATACGGAGTACTGACAGTTGACTTCTATCCTCGAATGTTCCACTGCCAGCCACGTCCGTCAGAGAGGCACTGTCGACCGCTACTGTCCGCCCACAGGGCCGGCTGTGGCAGTGTCGCCGGCACCAGACGAGGCGCCAGCACCCGGCCCGGTGTCGCCGCTCCCTCCAGCACAGGAGATGGGCGCCTCCGTGACGGCCTCCTCGTCCCACGAGTGGCTCTGGACGGAGTCATTGTACACAATGTGTGCCTGCGGACGGAGGGGGGGGGGGGGTCACGGAAGGGTCACTGGCTGGGGGAACTCGGTCACCTCGAGCGTTACATGCGTATTATCGAGAGTAAAATTCCTGAATTCCTGAGACGTTGAATCATTACACGTATTTACTGATGAAAAAAATCATCTGCTTCCGAAGCTGCCCGCACAAGTTTGACAGAGATGCTTACAGATTGCCCGACAAAAGCTCGCACTGCAACACTAACAAACACTCTATTCGGCCAGTTCGCTGCACCAACTGACGATCTAACACAACAAACCGACTGGAACAGAGGAAAAACAGGCACGGCGAAAGCCGACAGCACACCAACTGAGAACGCAAGGTTAGCTGCATCACGGCACCATTGCGAACAGTTTGAATGTGAGGGTCAGTATGCTAACTACACTATTTTTGGTATAACATATTTTTGGTATAGCGTTTCACTACTGCGGCGTGGATTGCAAAGGCATGCATATTCGAAACTACTACAGTGACACGTTTGATACACCACATGACCCCGAAGACGGGCGTTATAGCCGTTACCACTCTTTCGGAAAAGTAATTTTCAGCGGACCTTTCATGGCTAAAGTAATTTGTAATTTGCCAGGCAAAAGTAATTTGCATCGTTAGTGAAGAAGCCGTCTTGATCGGAAAAAAGGCGTGGTCAAACCAAGCAAGTGTGGAAGCCCGTCAACAATTAAGTTAGAATAAGATTAGAGAAACGGCTGCACGTTAAAAGGAGCCGGCGTGTAAAAGGATTTAATCGAGACACAAATTTATTGTGCGACCGAGAGGTCCATGAACGCGATTGACCTAGCCTCGAAATTGAGCAGGACCTCAAGACCGACCACTCCGGACCGAAAAAAAAAACAAAAATGCATCTTAATAAATACATCTTAAATCTTTCAGCTATATCATCAACACTGTGTTCATGTCCTGGAAAAGTACGGGGTTAGTCATGCGGCCGAACAGAGAAGCCTGAACCACCTTCGGAATAACCTCTGTTGCTGTCTAGGATATTTTCCCCGACCATTGCTCGATTGGGATAGGTGCCTGGAGGTGCTAAAATCCCACCTAGGATCGGATCGGGATACTGGCTGGGTATTTATCGGTCGGTTTAGCTTTTTTTCTTCAGGTAACCGTGCTTTCCGAAGCAAGCACCCATCACCGGACCAAAAAGCGCAGGAACCATCACTGTCCATCATAAACAAATCCGCACCCATGCATCCCCATTCCCCAAACATTCACAGAAGCACACCCGCGGCAGCCACGAGCACGCCGTAGCCCGAAGCCAGCCATCTGCGCGCGGCACTCACACAGTGAATTAGTCCCTGTGAAGCTTCCGCTAGGCGTCGCCAGCTTTAACTGCGGTCAAGGTCTTCGTAGCCGCGGAACCTCCGACGCACGGCCCACTACAGGGAAGCGGGGGGGATCGCCCGGTGAGACACGGAGAGCGGAGCCAGGCGGTATACAGATCACGACCCGGGCTCGCTGTAGTGTTACGTGCCAGTGCAGGACGACACACGGCTTACTCAGAGAGTGCAGCAGACAGACACAGACAGGAGGCCGCCTTCACACGATTAGGGAACGATGGTGGGTAGCATTTACTGGCAAACTCCATGCAAATACTTTGCACATATGATTTAAAATAATTCAGCATGCATTTTGGTCTTAAATCATGACTGACTTACTATACAAAATCGTTCAATACGACAGCTGTTATTTACACACGACATCCTACAGCGTTCAGAGCAGGCGCCGCCCCACTCCTGCCGCCACTGGCCGCTGTCCAGCCGTCTCACCCTGATCCGGTCGAAGCCGAGTCCTCCCATGGCGCCGTACAGCAGGGTGGTGAGGTAGCCGATGAAGCCCACGTAGGCCAAGCCGGAGACAGCCAGCATCAGGTCGGCCCACCACACGGCCGGCAGCGTGTCACGCACGTACGACACCACGAAGAAGATGTTAATGCCCACCACCAGCGCAGACAGCACGCTGGCCGCTATCTTCATCGGCCTGTCGACAACAGAGGGGTAGAGGTCAGTGAACTGGGGGTGGAATCGTCGCTCTGGGGCGGTTTGACAGATAGGCAGACATGTGAGTGCAACTGCAGGATGAGGATATTGCACTATTTTTACGGGGATTACAGCGATTCTTCGATTATCACAAGAATGTTTACGAGAATCAGGGACTCGTGCTTTCTAAACTTATTCATATGCGGATCAAATCACACACTTTTCCCTGAGACTGGAAGGAGCTGCTGTCCGCATTCTAACTTGTCCACAACTCACGTGCCGTTCCGGAACTCTCCCATGATCTGCTCGGAGCTGGTGAACGTCAGGGTGGGCAGCAGCGCGAACGGCAACTGCAGGCTCATCAGCGCGTTCAACAGGTCGTTCATACCAGTTAGGTCGTTGATGTCCTGGAAAGTTGAGCCGGGTAAGTCACGGAGGGTGCAAGGGCGGCAGAACATCACATGGAGAATGAGCGGTAGTACGATAGCGGTAATAAGTCGGTAGTACGATAGACAGCGCAAAGCGACTGATGCGTCTCGTATTACCTTGAAGATCGTAACACGCTAACTGAAAAGTAAGCATTTCATTAGCCCCTTCCGCGCAAAAACGTTAATGGTTCATTACCAGCAAGGTTTGGAGATTGTTGCGACCTCAGTTACACATATGCTCATCGATATGTTGCATTCCATTACACCAACGGCATTGGGGATTGCGCAGCCGTACCTTGTACACGGCAATGAAGAACGTGGGTAGGATGGCGATGGTTCGCGTCACGAGAACTCTCTTCCACTTGGGCCAGGTCAGGTTCAGAAAACCCTGAAAGAAGAAACAGTTGGTTAGTGATGACACGAAAAAGGCTACTTGCCAGGAGCTTGTCAGAGAAGAAAAAAGTGACAATAGCTGACAATATCGCCAGTGCTGATAAAGTAATCATACTGGAGCATATTCGGCGAGCGCTGAACAAACAACTGTCCATCGCTTGCATTCAAATCGCCCACCAAGCTCTGTTCCAACTACATGATACACACTGATACATACATACATACACCTCATACATAGTCGCGGTTTTGCCGTGCAGTTCGACGCGACCTTCATTTCAATAGGTGTTTGGGAGCGTTAGTCGATAAGACTGTCTCTAATCGATAACCACCAGCTGTTGATTTTCGCACATTGAACCGTCCCAGCCGCGGAGTTAGCGACACGCCGCCGGCGCGCTGTTAGACGATAAGCGTTACCAGGCCACCATGAGACGGACTCAACGAGCCCAGAGGATTTCCTTGTCTTATCGGCCGTGACTGGCTCCCCGGCCGTCACCAATGCGATAGGTGACTGTCCAATTTTCTGCTAATCATAAGTGCTGAGTCAAACGTGCAGAATGATAGGTAAGATGCGCTAGCTGAATGATGAGCTTCTCTGATAGCACGAGACCACTTGACATCGGACTCTGTGACCCCTGCTGCCGACAGTCTGTCGTCAGCACATTTCAACCTTCTATGAACATTGGACAACACGCACCAATCGCCGCACGAACAAGGCTCCGTTGCTAGACGACCGGGTCGTTCGCATTTCAGTGAAGTGCAGATGAAGTGCCGACTCGAGTGTCAAATTTCCTTCCCATCCCCAATGCTGGTGTCCCACTTGAAACATACGATGTTATTGACCTAAAGCGTGTGATTATGACGGGTAGTGACCGGACGGGTAACTAAGAGTGATGCTGGAAGAAAGTAGCAGTTTCCTAAAACGATCTAGCAAGAATATAACTGTACCAATGTCCTAAACGGTCCTAGAACCAATGTTTCCAATCAATCATGACTCATTTTTGAGCTATCGAGCTCAAAACTGAATGATAATTAATTTCACGACACGCAACATCTGCCTTTTGTTTCTTTTCCTAAAATAAAAAGACAAAAATTCCTTCTTAACGATTAGCTCAAGTACTCTGTTTTACGGCTGTAAAAGTTGCGTTTTACGCTGAGTTACCTCCACGACGAACTGTAATCAGTTACCTCCATGACGAACTGTCCCGAGTAGGTGCCGGTCATGGTGCTGCTCTGCCCCGCCGCCAGGATGCCCACCGCCCAGATGTAGAGACACGCCACGCCGAACTGGCAGCCCAGGAACACGCCGCCCTTGAACAGGTCGGCGTCCACCAGCTCCGTGTTGTTCTGTGGACAGCGTGAATCGGCGTGAGATGCTAGTGGACAATGGAGACGAGAGCACAGCACGAGTGAAAATATAAAAACCCACAGGATAAAACCTAAGGAAGCCGGCTTTTCTTGAACGGGAATATGGAATCTGAAGAGCGAGTTATAAAAGACTTTCCGTGTTACGGGCGATGATTCAGGCTGTAGGACTAGGAGACAGCATTGCAAACGTGGTTATGCTTAAAGGAAATAGCTCACTTTTAACATGGGGTTTTGAACTGGAATAGCAGTTTCGTAGCTTGAGCTGAGACTAGCACAAATCAGGAGCTTTTACGGCTCAACGATCACCCTAGACGAAGATATTCCATTTCTCGTTCCGAAAAGAGTGCCTTGCAGAGGAATGCGTGCCTTGCACAGGAATGCAGCCACTTCATCGTCAGCCAATCAGCATGCTGCTTACAGCCAGTGCAGTATGCGTAGGTTTGAACTACGCGATATGATTGGTCAACGCGTAATAAGCTTCCGCCTCAAACATTATTTTACATAGAATATAGTTCGTCCTATATTAAAATATAGAAAATAATTGTTTTTACAAAAAGGTTTTACTTTCTTTCATGATCATTTTGAGCATAAAAAATCATAAATCAATAGCAAAATTCTAATTTCCGGAAAGTGAACTGTTTCGTTAGTTTTGCTATTCAACAAACAAGCTTCATGATCATTTATCATCCATCGTTCACGAGATTCAAAGTTATATAACATGACAAGCGTTGCAAGGCAGAGGCATCAAAATATGCCGGGCCCTATCCAACACTGCCAATGGACGTGCTCATGATACTGCCACAGTTCACCGTTCAGAGCCGTGCCCCGTCTTACGGAGAAACCCATTATCTCCTGCCCTGTCCACTCATGGCGAAATATGTTCAGCCCCGGGCCCCGCGCCGTCCACTCACGGGGAATGTGTCCGGATACATGGTATCCAGTCCGGTGCCCTTGCACACGTCCACCACGTCCTGGTTGGTCTTGTTGAAGAGTCCGTAGGCGAACACGGCCACCACGAAGACGTTGATGATGAAGGAGACCAGCAGCGCCAGGCACGACTCAATGAAGTAGTAGTAGTTGGCCTCGCGGATCCGCGAGCGACGCGTCCGGTCCACGTGCCGAGACTGGGGACGGATGGGAGGTCAGTTAAAATCGGTCAGCGGAGGTCTGAACGCTTGCTTATCAAGAAATACAAACTGTATTCAAGTGAAACCATAACTAATGGCAATTTCACAATCAACCACGAGTGAATAAGGAGCAACGCTTGGCAGCAGATGTCAGGCTGTCCAACGATGTCTTTATCATTATTGCTCCACTGACCAATCAAATCAACATGCCAACACACGTCAAGTTAATAATAAACACAGCGACTTAGACCGATGCAGTTGCCTGAAACCTCAACAAAAACAAACTTATGCGGTGAATGATCACGCGACATTGAAAACAGCACGACATGGTGTCAACTGACATTGTTGTGTAACGATAAGCTCGGACCGGTCGTTTCGTTACCTTGACGAGCGCCGAGTGTAGGTAGAGGTTGTGCGGCATGATGACGGCTCCGATAATACCGACCGCCTGCAGCAGCGAGCGGCTGTCGCAGCCCGAGCAGCCCGGTATGAACATGCCGCTGATGACATCCGCCTGGGGCGGCGACACGACCACGTACTGCCGGTAACGGGTGGGATGGGACGGGAGGTGAGTCTCAGTGAGTCCGGTGAGTTGACTCAGTGAGTCCGGTGGGATGACTCAGTGAGTTCGGTGGGATGACTCAGTGAGTCCGGTGAGTTGACTCAGTGAGTTCGGTGGGTAGTCCGGTGAGCCTCTCACCGTCAACAGTCGTCCTCAGTCGCAGTTAATGCCTTTCTTTTCTGTTGTTTGTTGAAACAACTGACATAAATAACACTAACCCACATTATATAACCTAACATTACGTAATAAGCACGAATTTGACGGTAGTATTGCAATCCACCGCGCCAGGCGGCCCACTGACGTACCTCATAGCCGAACATGATGCCCATCACGGCGATGAGGAAGCAGAAGAAGGCCTCCAGCTTGCGCATGCCGTACTTGTCGACCAGGAGAAAGGTGAACGTGTCGCAGACAGTGATGAGCACTCCGCCCCACAGGGGAATCCTGCGGCGAGAGACGAACGACGTTACAATGACGGGAATAGCATCAAACGGTGCAGTCTGATAGTTAAAAAAGGTTTGTTGCAAGACTGTATAAACATAAAATATTGGAACGTACAATTCCTACCTGCCTGCCTGGAAATATGCGTTTCGTTCCCTACACATTCGACAGAAAATGGTGCTTGTTAGTTGTTTAGATCATGTGGTAGTTTTACTCAATGCGGCCTGTGAACGACTGGGAAGCGGGAACACGGGATATTCAATATCCGACCGTCATAGAAACGTAATACCCAGGCCCGGTTTACGGTTTACTGTTATCCCATTACTGAGTCCCACATTTTTCACTGTTAAATAGTACATACGTTTAGTACACGAGCTCAAATATGTACTCACAGTTTATTGGAGAGCATGTAGAGGGCAATGGAGGTGCCGATGACCTCCTGCATGTCGGAGCCGATGATGGCCACCTCGATCATGATCCAGAGCACGAGCCGCGCCGGCTTCGGGTACTGGCGGTGACACACCTCGGCCAGGTGCATGCCGCTCACCACGCCCAGCCGGGCCGCCAGACGCTGCGCCATCAGACCGAGAACGGTGGCAGAGAGCAGCATCCACAGCAGCTGAAACAGGGTAATTCCCCGTCAGAGAGCAGCATCCACAGCAGCTGAAACAGGACAATTCTCCGTCAGAGAGCAGCATCCACAGCAGCTGAAACAGGGTAATTCTCCGTCAGAGAGCAGCATTAACAGGAGCTGAAACATGGTAATTCTCCGTCAGAGAGCAGCATCTACAGCAGCTAAAAAAGAGCAGACCGTCATCAGAGAGCAGCATTAACAGCAGCTTAAACAGAGCCCTCCTTCGTCAGACGACAGCATCCACCGCCATCAGGCCGAGGACGATGGCCGACAGCAACATCCAGAGCAGCTGAAACAGGGACAGTGCTCCGCCAGAGAGCAGGCATCCACAGCAGCTGAAAGAGACAAATGCTCCGTCAGGCTGCAGTCCCTCATCAGCAGCTGAAAGATACAGCATCCAAAGCAGCTGAGACGGATCGGCATGGCATCAGTCATTGGTTGAAAATGGACCGGCCCTTCATCAGAAGCGGCACCTTGTCAAGCAACAGAGTGAATGCAACAGCTTCATAACGCATATCTGGCTCTGTGTCATATGTGATTATGTCCATACCAGCCCTGAACATTAACATAGCATCATCAAAACTTCACTAAACCACATTGGAGTCACCTAAGCACCGCCGTAAGGTCCGCCGGGTTACCTTGTAGCTGGCCACGGTGCCGGACTGAAGGTCGGACTCGATGTTGCCGGGATCCAGGTAGGCGATACTCATCAGGAACCCCGGGCCGGTAAACGCCCACAGCTTGCGCCAGCTGAACCATTTCTCCTGACGGAGACAAACACGAATAAATTAAATGTATGCCCTCGGAGCTAAATGCATGTACTTAAAATCGTATTAAAGAATGATGCGATGGTGTGCTTTATTTAACACGGAAAATAGCGCACCTATGTATATACTATACGTATCATCGGATTACATTTCAACTATTTAGGACCTATACCTACTATTCTCAATCATGTAGGCAAATAACCCGCACGAGACCTAAACACAAAGCACTGTAGTCAGTCTTGAAAGTACCGCGCATCGTTCCGGTGGATCCATCAAGCCTGACCGAGGAAAGGCTGCTAAAATAGAGAATCACCGAACCAGTGGACATCCTCATCCATCCCTTCGGTCAATTGGTTCGGTGACTCTCAAATTTAGCAACCCTTCATCAGTCAGGCTTGATAGATCCATCGCACTAATGCGCGGTGCTTTCGAGACTGACTGTACATACTCTTGGCATTCCCGGCATTTACACGCGCGAGCGTAAACACATACCAAACAGCACCCCTCCCCTCCCCTCCCCTCCCCAGCGGGCGGCGTCCGGGGGTCACTGACCTCCTCTCCGGGCGGCACCTCCACCCGGTTGTCGGCGAAGTACGTGTCGAGCACGGTGGGCGGCTGCGGCGGCAGCGGCTTCATGATCCGCGGCGTGTCGCCCGAGCTGCCCGAGCTGCCGTCGCTGCCGGCGGCCGGCGACGCGTCGCGCCCGTCGTCAGCGCGCTCCTCGTCTCGCAGATCCTCGTACGCCATTGCCTCGGGTTAGACGGCCGCGTGCCGGCGCTGTCGGCAACGGTAGCATGTTAGAACATTGGTTAAACCATACCAACGGTCGGAAAAGGGCAGATGAAATTGTGCAAAGATACTGGATCAACCTCAATAGAAAGTGGCGGTGCCTGTCACGAATGCAGCATTATATCAGACATCACACAGGCCGCAGCCATCTATCAAGTGTACAGCCCAGACCAAAAACCAACAGCTCCTTGTTATCCTCATTATTCCCAGCTATGGTGTTCGCGTTTGAATCGCTGTCCGATCCAGACGCTAACCAAACCACCCGGACGCGTTTCCCCTCTTCTTGTATTCCTCCCAGGCTCCGGAGAGACTCATAGATCGGTCCTATCTCTGGATGACATCGGTCGCCGTTTGCTGCCCGGGGTCAGCGGACCGGTCCGTCGGCCCAAAAAAGAGAGGCCACGCGGCCGGCTGGCGGCCTGAGGAACTGTCCGTACAGGCAGCTGCGTCGCGTGGTAGGCGGAACCGAGAATAGCTTCAGTAATATGTTAACAATACCTATCTGAGAGAGCATGAACATAAATTTGCAACATGGTAGGGGAGACTGGGGAGAAGTGGGACATTATTTTGACGTCAACTTTGAAAAATCGTAAAAAATAGAATATTTAAAATTTAAGTAAACTGATTGCATTTACTGGTAAACGGTTTATTTCTTCTTCATGCTTTACTGTTTTCATGCGTGTTTGTTCACGTGTTACTTCTCAAATTTAAATTTTAGGAAAAGTTGACAATGGGGTGAACTGGGACACGTCCAGGAGAAGTGGGACAAATGATAGGGAGAACTGGGACTGGTCAAGAAATGTGATTTAAATGGAATACAATTAAAATGTGATGACCCATCACGAAGAAGAAGGTGTTTTAAAAATTGAAAATCACCTCGATTATCTTTTTTGAACTACACTGAGAGCACTGAGTATCCTGGAAAATTTTCCCATGCAGTTGCATGCGGGAGAACTGGGACAAGGTTTAGGCACGCTGTCCCAGTTCTCCCCAAGTCGTCATTTTTATTTCAACTGCTCTCCCACACAAAAAGTATAACAGATACATAAAAAAATGTTTCTGCATAATTAAGATGACTTCACTGACATCCTAATGTGAACGGCCTGAACATTTCACATCGCTGAATAAATGGCAAAATGAATTAAGAGTGCAATGCCAAAAATTCACATTTTAGACCCCAACTCAATATCTCAGAGACAAACAACCGGAAAAGGAAACCGCTTGGTTGTGACGTGCCCCGACTAAATTCATGAGAAAATATGCAAAAACAAAATTGTTTGTCCAATCGGTCACCCAGATACTGAAGGTGTCCCACTTCTCCCGCGTCCCAGTTATCCCCACTCTCCCCTACGCTGTAAGGGTCAAAAGAATTTAGAGAGCACCGAACATTTCTTATCGGCGTCCATGCCATAAAAAGCAGACAGCATCACGTCTGAAAGCATTTGTGTCGATTCGTCTTGGAAGGTATGAAAAAGTGTTATGTCGCATTCCCAGCCCGCAATACGTGTATCAAATTTTGCAAATAAAAACCAAAACGCATGCTCGAGATCAGAGAGAGTATAGTACCTATACACTCGTAGAAACAGTCTAGAGATTACCTCATGACCTAGCCAGGTCAAAATTACCTAGGCGGAGGCATGAGGTAGCTTAGGATTTAAGCGGCAAAACTGGGAGACGTTTATACATACAGGGTGATTTTTTTTACTTGTTAAAAAGTAATGAGGTCTAGTGGCATTAAAATATAAATATATATTGCAAAATTATATACCAGGATCACAAGCATTCTGGGACATTTTGATTTCATGCAGACAAGATGTGAAGGAACGTCCGTCGTGTATTTTACTTTTGCTTGAAGTTGCCCCCTCTCTCACCGACACGAATCAGCCCGCTTGAGCACGTGTTGAACAGCACTGTGGACTCCTAGACCCTTTAGGCGGACTGAAAAGGCTCCTATCACCCAGTTTTAGCTCTGCCAGATATTTCCAATGTTTTCTTGTCCAGAATTGGAGGATCAAAAGCATGCGATAGCATGCTTTTGCATCCGGAAATTCCCATTGGTGGGTCGCTGAAAAAAAGTTCGGCTGAACCCAAGGCCCTATATAGAAGGTATGCTCATTAGGCCGAAGCAGCGATTTCCGTGACGTCACAGGTACGAAGGGTCGGACGGCTGTAATGCAACCATATGGGAAATGACCCAACTTTAGGGCTCTCCCACATAGCTGCCAGACTCGATACTCGGGTAAAAATTATATCACATGAAAGCTCGAATCAAGACGAACAAGAAACCTATGTGACATTTTTACGTATTACTAACGGCTTAGACTCTATTCAAGTATATTCAGAGCTCTGCATTAGCTCACTTTTTCTGCCGTCAATGCCTCTACAAATGCCTACTATGGACGTCAAACCCCTTGAGACCCCACTTTTTTGCGATAATTTTTAAATACGTCATCTCTCGGTGACAATATTCTGGCAATGTGTGTTTCAGAACCTGCCGAAACTTTTATTACTAAGGTATTTTGACGCCAAACGATTATGAAAGGTACTTCTCATTCACTCGTAATGTTAAATTTCACGGGACGAATCTGCTGTTTGGGTAGAGGCTACGCGCTCATGGGGCGGAGCCACGTAATGACGTCAGCGCTAAGCTCCGGCGCTCCGCCCTACCCCTCCGGCGCTCCTTGCCCGGCGACCGGTCACTCGCGTCTCTCGCTCCATTCAGGCTTGATGGTGGGCGGTAGCTGGTAGCGGTAGCGGGCGCTGGTAGATGACATTTAGAGCAGATGGCGCTGGTGGCGGGGCTCGAGTGTGGCCGAGCGCAAGCCTCTGCCCGGGCCTGAATTGACCTTAGCATTACGAGTGAATGAGAAGTACCTTTCATAATCGTTTGGCGTCAAAATACCTTAGTAATAAAAGTTTCGGCAGGTTCTGAAACACACATTGCCTGAATATTGTCAAAGAGAGATGACGCATTTAAAAATTATCGCAAAAAAGTGGGGTCTCAAGGGGTTTGACGTCCATAGTAGTCGGCGCACGTGCGCTTGTCGAGCGGGGACCACCAGTCGGGCGATTCGGAGCTACCGCCCAATCAGAACGCCACAATGCCGTGACATCATTGGTCGCACACGACACGTTACGGAGATAGGGATGAGACAGCCCTGGGCTGAACCTGTTTGTCAGTGAGTATGCGAGTGAGTTTGTCCAAGCTTTTTTGGACCTGGAGTCAAAATGGGTGGACCGATCGGGACGAAAGTGGGACCGTTTGATTCGTCTCCGCCTCCGGCGAGGTAAACTTTTGGTGCTGGCCTCGATTCGCTCGGTGCTTCGTGGCACATGCTATTCCGCTTCAAAGTTTAGGTGACACGAAATTTTTTGTCAAGGCTTCAGGTCAACCCGAGGTCACGGGCAAAGCCATACTGGCGGGACACATCGGTAACACCTTGAACCAGTTTCCAGGGGGTCACCGTCTGCGAGGGGTGCAGGCTGCACGTGCTGGGGTCGGAAAACCGTTTTGACGTGAGGTCCTCTGACTCAAAGAAATTTTAAGCTATCAACCTCAAAATCGGTTCAATGGTAGTCCCAGGCAAGGCCTCCAAAATAATGCACATTTGGTTGAGCTAAACTCTGTGGTGCATGAGCTATGCACGTGCAAGCCGATTGCACCCCTTCGTACAGTAGGTCTACTAAAAAAGTCCCCCGCTCCAGAGGCGGCCGGCCGGCCGAACCCCCGGATTCCAGCCCCGACTCTATTGCGCAGGCCGCGGCAGTGACACGGGTCAGGTCGCGGCGCCCGGCGAGTGGGTCAGTTGGCGGCGGCCGGCCGTAGAGTGAGGACGCCGTGTGTGGGGCGCAGCGATGCCGCAGTGCAGAGGAGGGGAAGATAGTGACTCTGCACGATGCCGGAAATGATGCCTTTGTGATCTAAATTAAACACCTGCACTGCAGTGCATATCCCCCCTTGCCCCATTCTTATTATGTATATCATAATCCTTCAATAATCCATAATGACCATTCAACGCAACCAAGCAAACAAAACAACCCGTCCGGTTTAGCGGCGACATCATCTCGGATAAAAAATCACAGTGATGATTAGAATTGACTTAGCGCGAGGGCAAATCGAGGGGTATACATATGCCGCGTATTTTATTCCCATCTAGCAAATTAGGATTGTGGATCTTGTTCAACAAGTCAGCGGCCGTTCTAGACACAGATAAATACTTTGTTTTCGGTCGCATCATTATCTGCAATAATTCGAAGCGAGGTTTAACCCTCGCCGGCCGAGAAAAAGGGGTGGATGCCGCCACCATGTATTTTTTGTGGTAGCTCAAAGCACACTGATGATAGAAGGCTGACATTTCATATGCCTTACATTTGATTCAAGCCGGATCATTTGAAATCAACCACGTTTTCATGTCGGGTCACTTAACTGTGACGTCTTAAGTAAACCTCTGCAGACTGCACGGTTGTCGGTTAAAAATGATGCAAATCCGTAATGCACTTATTGTCATCAAGCATAATGGGAAAATATGGAAACTGTTAATTTGGCGTCGGAAATGACCTAAAACTATACCTCAAGCACATGAAATCGTGACTTCATACATTCTTGGCAAGGTTTAAAGGGACCCTCCCACCTTAACATTAGTTTTGAGTTGAGATAGCCAAGTTTGCGGCCAGGCTCAGAAACCACCATTTATCCTGGTCGCAACCCCCGCAGCTTTATGGTGTTCAAGAAATTTCTTCCCTTTACTTGCAGGGTGGGACCAGCGTGGTCCCTATCTCTTAACCATTACGGGAATCTGATGACGTCATCAGGCTTTCGAACGTCCGTTAAATGTTTGACTAAAACGTTTTGTAGCACGCGGTGGTATATGCTGCTTTGCGCGCAACAAATGCCGCACTTTCAAATAAAGTCGCTAGGAACAGCGGAGATCCCAAAAAGTAAACAAAAGTAAAAGTCTAATATCTTGAAAACCGGTGAATATTTTTCG